CAATCACTCAAAAAAGACTTTAACTGTGGACATCTAGACAGTGTTGGATTAAAGTTAAAGACTAGGTGGCGGGGGGGGGGGGCGACTTTTGAAGTTGGACTGAACACATTTTGCATTGTGAGATGACCAGGAGCTAATGGAGACCAGAGGAGGAAGATTACAGCGTAAAAGTGTTGTGATTGAATGTCAAATTGACAAGAAGTAGACTTGTGATAATTACTCTTGATCGTTAGATTTGACGGAACTTAGAATCACCTTGGAAATAAACTATGGCCATGACTATGAGGGGTTCCTAGGTTAGGGTAACTGATAGGAGAACACTCACCCTAAATATGGGCAGCACCAGCCAATGGGCCAAGGGTCCTGGCCAGAGGAGAAAGGGAGTTGCACAATCTCATTCCTCTCTCTCTGATTAGTAGCTTCACACTCCTGCCACATGCATGCCTTCCTCACCATGATGGACTGTCAACAAAAATGATCCCTTCCTTCTCTGCTAGGCTTCGATCACAGCAACAAGAACTGTAACTACTACAGACAGTGAGGAATTATAACTGCTGAAAACTACAGGTCTTCAGATCACAGCACCAAGAAATAAACAGGTAAGGGAGGTACAGGAAGAGAGAAGGGCAAACGCTTGTGGGCTTCTATGTCTACCATACTTAACATTGAAAACAACAAACTTTTAAAGGTGTATTTTTAGAACCCAAGGAAACAACACCCTAAAAGCTGCTGAGAGAACACAGGACTTAGAACAGAGCAAATGTTACTCAGTGAAGATCTGACCTGCACTAGCATTGTCCAGCTCAAAGGAGAACAGACTGCCCTGAATGGACTGCGGTGGAGTGCAGCACCCTCATAACAAACTTTACTGATCATGATTTTGTTTTTCAAAGTGTTGATAAAATTAGCCTCTCAATGTATCTATTACATCACACTATATCTTTCACATAACAATATGATAAATCCCTCTTAGAACTGAGAGCCAGAATCATTTTCTCTTCAACATGTGCAATTTAATAGAAAATATGTGAACTTTAAAAAAATAACTACCTTGACTTAGTAGCTCTATAATGTATGCATATTTTAAAGCATGTCACAAAAGATAGACACATTTTGTCAGCTAAAAAAGTTAAAGTTAAAAAAAGTAAACTAAGATTCTTTAAGTTTCATTTGTAGTGGGGGAACTGATCTCTGTATGGCTGTTATTGAGGCAATTTAACTTCTTAACATATACATTTGAGGTCTTTTTTTTTCTTTTGAGACAGGGTTTCTCTGTGGCTTTGGAGCCTGTCCTGGAACTAGCTCTTGTAGACCAGACAGGGCTCAAACTCACAGAGATCCACCTGTTAGGAATCTTCCCTAACGCGAGCTCTCTGCCAATGCAAATTTCCAATCAAGCCAAATCAAAACAAGCCAAATCAAGAAATATTCAGGTTTAATGGGATTCCTGTGCTCTCTGGTGGGAGTGGGAGCCGGGAGACTGGGAACAGGACCACCAGGTGAAATTTGGGAGCTCACATAAATACTCTGTGGGAGTGGTCCTGATCCCACATGCTGGGATCTGGAGTCCAGACCTATACAGCTCTCAGGCCTGGGGAGCTGGGGTCTAGGCTCTAACCTGCCTCTGCCTCTGCCTCCCAAGTGCTGGGATTAAAGACGTGCACCACCCCACCCCCAACTCCCGGCTACACTTGAGTTTTACAACCATCTCTAACTCCAGTCACAAGGGGATCAGATGCCCTCTTCTGACTTCTGCACGTACCAGACACACATATGGTAGACATACATACTTCAAGCAAACCAATCATACACATAAAAAATAAATATATCTTAAAATTTCATTGGGAAAATATATTCTCAAAATCTTTTAACATATTAGTTTGATAAAAACCTTCATGCATGCTTTTAAGTCTACAATTACTTCAAAATAAATAGATAAAATGTTTAAAAACTATTCTGATGTGGGGCAGTAATCTATATTCTGTCAAATATATTTTAAATAAATGCTGTTTGAACAGTAGCCAGGCAGGAAGTATAGGCGAGACAACAAGACAGGAAGTAGAGGTGGGGCAATGAGAACAGGAGAATGCTGGGAAGGAGGAAGCCCCACCACAGAAGAAGCAAGGTGTGACTGCCTCGCTGAAAAGGTACTGAGCCATGCGGGTAACATGTACTAGAATAATGGGCTAATATAAGTTATAAGAGTTAATAAGAAGCCTGAGATACTGGGCCAATCAGTTTATAAGTAATGTAGACCTCTGTATAATTTATTTGAGACTTAACGACTGCAGGAACTGGGCAGGACAGAAAACTCAATCAACACTATTCACACACAAATTTTTCATTATTTCAAAGTGAACAGTTTAAAAAAATAAAGTTTTTATAAGAGCCATGGCTGACAACAGATAGTGAGCATCATATTCCATTTCATAGATTAGGAGAAAAATTACTGGAAGTTTTTTTTTTTAGTATTTATTCATTTATTTATTAGTTGGGGTGTGTGTGCGAGTGTGCTCGCACGTGCATGTGTGTATGTGTGTAATTACTAAAACCCCATCAAACTTCAGCTCATCACAGCAAGCCAATTCAGAACTTTACCTATCTATGTTCAAATGATTTAAGAAACATTTTTAATTGTCTTACATTTAAATGTTTTATTCATTAAAAAATTTTCATATCAGTAAGTAATTATGGTGAAAATTATCTCAAAGGTATTAGGCCTTTATGTCATCTCCAAAATGCAAAATTACAAATAAATGCACTTTTATCTTTCTTTCCATTTTGCCCCTTCTGCTATAATTTTCTGTTTTGGAGATGATAATAAACTAAGAATTTTATATTCAAAACAAGATAGTTGAAATAATACTATGAAAATTTCTCAATTTGAATCACATAAAACCTATCTGAATAGGAAGTTCTATGTTTATATTAAGTAAAAAAGAATTCTATACTAAGGAACAATATAAGCTTTAATAAGAATGGGAGGTGGGCAAAGAAACAGTTCAGTGATTAAGAGAAACTGCTGCTCTTGCGGAGGACCTGGGTTCAGTTCCCAGCACCATGTGGCAGCTGAGTGTCCATAACTACAGTTCCAGGGGATCAGAACCTTCTTGTGGCTTCTGCCCGCACCAGGCACACACAGTTCACTAACATACCTGCAGGCAAAATCCTCACACACATAAAATGAAAATAAATAAATAAATCTTAAAGAATAATAGAATATACGTGATGGTTAATCTTGGCTGTCAACTTAAATAAACATGGATCCTCTAAGACGCACACTTCTGTGTGGGTTTGTAAAGTGATTTCCCAGAAAAGATCCTCCCTCAGAGCAGGAAACACCTTTCCCTAGCAGCCCATGTGTAAAGAGATTCAAGTAAAAAAATAACATTGCTTTTGCCTGCCTGCCTGCACTTCCTACTGATGAGAACATCTATCTACCCTATTTTGTTTAAACAGAAAAAGGGGAAATGATGGAGGAAGGTCATTGGTTAATTATAATAAAGAAACTGCTTGGCCCTCATAGGTTAAAACATAGGTGGGAGGAGTAAACAGAACAGAATGCTGGGAGGAAGAGGAAGTGCGCTCAGAGGCCATGCTCCCCTCTCCTGAACAGACGCGATCGATGAAGCTCCGACCCAGGATGGACGTAGGCTAGAATCTTCCCGGTAAGCGCACCTAGGGGTGATACACACATTATTAGAAATGGGCTAGTCCAGGTGCGAGAGTTAGCAGAGAAGAGGCTAGATATAATGGGCCAAGCAGTGTTTAAAAGAATACAGTTTGTGTGTTGTTATTTTGGGTAAAGCTAGCCGGTGGCAGGAGTTGGGTGGCGGAATGCGACCCGCAGCTCCCACAATACCCTACTACTCGAGTACTTATTTGTATTAAGAGTTAGAAATGAAAAATGTAAAAGTGGTAAGTAGTTGGTGGCATAAACAAGCATCACAAGAATGCAGTTAAGGTCAGTGTATTGTATTTAGAATGCTGAGCAGATAATAAGGAGGTAGCTTTGGAGTGGACCAAGACAGGCTAGTTTCAAAAAGCATGAGGCAGTATGGGTCAAGAAGGCAGATGACAGACAGTAAGGAGCTGTCATTTAAGATGTCTAGGCTGAAAGTGGCAGGCTGTGGTCCAAACCCAGACTCATTCTCTTTTATGTGGGCTATCAAAAGATTTTACATTTTTAAGTGGTTAAAAAACAGTCACAGTGCTCAGTACATGCCAGGCCCATCCATTTATACATTGCCTGTGACTGGTTCTGCACTGCACAGCAGAGTTGGGGAGATCACAGTGCCCTGACTTTCTGGAGGAAATTTGTCAGACCCTCTCCTAAGAAGGCCCTTGTAGCTGACACACTATGAGTGAGGGCTGCAGAGAAGGCAGGAAAAAGAAGCTGGATAAAGAGACGCTTGTGTATCAGGGAAAGATCTGGATGCCATCTAGGAGCAAGAAGGAAGCTACTGAGCTCTCAGTAGGAGAGTGACAATAGATTTGCAGTTTAAAGGTCATTCTGGCTGTCATAGTGGGAACCAAGTGTTAGGAATGAATGGTAAAGCTAGTGTAGTCATTGATTTAGGCAAGAAATGAACACAGCTTGGACTCTGCTGGTGAAACACTGAAGCTCAGAAAGACTACTTTCAAATGCGCAGGGTTGGTTCAAAGTCTGGTTTAGTCAATTCAGTGAGCATTTTTAATAATCACAATTCTCAAAACTACTATGCTAGGAATGCTCTTCAAAAGGAAAGGATAAAAATGTCACTACAGGAATGTACATGTAAAAACAAATATTCCAAGTGTCTTTCTAAAGACACATTCTAAAATATGATTAATATTTTTGCAAACTGGAAAAGACTATTTTCATTAAATTTATGCTTTAACCATTTAATGTAAAAAAATAATACAATATAAACTAACATAAAAACAGAATAAGCAGTCCTAAGTACATATCTATCATATTTTCTTGCCCACATGTAGTAAAGAGAAAACAAAGAACATACCTGCTACATTCTAACAATGTAACTTTCAGCCGGCCTTCAGTAAGTGCCCACTGTTGAATATGAATAAGTTCTTCATCTTCTTCAAATCCTTGCAAGGCTTGGTATGGAAAAAACGGCTTAAACCTGACAAAAGTAAAGATAAGTCTAAATTTCTGAATAATAATCATAGCTTGGAGCATAACGAATACCTGCCTGTTTAACAAAAGACTCAAAACAGTTAATAATGCATTAGCTCTACAAAACCAAAATGTAACACCTGGAAGCAAGAGTGACTTCTCTGTATCACCCACGAGTTGTGGCTTTGTGGACACCCTTACTGACAAGCCCAGGACACTTAGAATACAGAAAAGGGTAATCCAAGAGGCCCTCAAGTTTTGATGGAGACAGATTCTTTGGATCAGATGAGAAGTTCCTACAATACATGGTCAAAATCCAGAATGTATTGTCAGTGGACACAAAATGATAGTGATTGGTACACAACAATAAAATAATAGTAGCAAACAGCAGCAACAGTAATTACTGTTATTTGCTGGCAATGGGAATTGCTTTATATGAGTTATCTTAATGTTCACACTCTATGCTGGGTGTTACTATACACTCCACTCTCCAGATAGAGAAATTTAGAATGGTTACTAAAGGTGTAATTCAACTTTACACACACAGCAGGACCCAACCAGAATTCAAGCTAAACTGACTTTATCAAAGCCCAAACTATGAAACATCTTAGCTACCTATGACTTACTGGAGCACTGTGATAATTATTATCATTATAATGATAATTATTATTATCATTAATAATCTTTTGCTTATGGAAGTGCCTGAGCTTAGTTAGAAATTGGAGGAGTTTAAAAAGAGCAGAACATTAACTTCAACCACAATTCATACTCTTCCACTAAAGTACAGAACAAGAAGATGATAAAAACTTGGCTTGAAGCTCTGTGATTTTCAACCCACACTAGCCATGACATTTACCTGTTCAGAAAATTTTAAGGTTTAAAAGAACAAGCAAAAAAAACATCTGGGTGTGGTGACATACATCTGTAATCCTACCTACTAAAGAGGTTAGGGCCTCTTGATCATTTGAACCCAGAGGTTAAAACCAGCGTAGATTACACAGCAAGATTGATTCTAAGAGATTTTGTCACTGAGATTCTCAGTCTCACATACAAAATCCATCACAATTCATCTTTCTTCTTTTGTTTTTTGTTTGTTTTTGTTTTTTAGAGACAGGATTTCTCTTTGTAACAGTTCTGGCTGTCCTGGAACTCACTTTGTAGACAAGGCTGGCCTCAAACTCACAGAGAGACACCTGACTCTACCTCCCAGGCATATGCCCACCACCATGCCCAGCCACAATTCATCTTTCTAATCATGCATCCGCTTAATGTAACAAGTCTTTTCTGTCTACGAAGTCACTGCTGGTCACTTAAGCCTTGCAATCTCCAGTATGGCCTCATCTCACAACTGCCTGTGCCTCTCACAAACCAGAGTGCCTCATGCACTCAGCATTTCAGTACGGTTGAGCTGATTTATAAAACACAAACACTAAAAATTAAACACTTGGAGGCTATCAACAGTGTACTACGGTTTACCTGGAAAGGCGCTGATAGAAGAGGGAAGTCCTACTTGCCAGTAAATGGGAATAAAGGAAAAATCTATTGAAGGAAGAAGTAGGAACATGGTCAATGCCAATTGCTTTATTCTGGTTTTAAACTAGAATAAAAAGCAGAAGGCCCCTCAGTTTCTCCAAAATTTTACAGTAATTTGCTTTTGAAGCCATTTGACTTAGACATACTCTAAATTCTTTGAGATTAAAAAAAAAGGGTCAGAAGTGAGATTTTTCATATTAATACAATATTGTATTTGATAGCTTTGAACACATATGCCTTACAGCCTCTGAAGAACATATAAAAATCTATTAATGCTTTAAAAATTACAAATATCATTACATTCTCTAGAAACAATGTTAATATTCTAAGTTATTTAGTTAAATTACAGCTGTTCTAAGACTCTATCTCCTTGTCAAAACACATCACAATTCTCAGAGGAGCATTAAACAGTATATGATATATAGTCTAATCTGAATTTATTAATACCTACAGTGTTTTGCTAAGAATGCTTATACATAAAATACATTAGAATCAGAAATATGCATTCCACTTAAGACGAATATACTGAAAAGGGTATAGCTGTCATTCAGCAAGCCAGTCAAAGAATAAGCCTTGTTGATACTCATGGGAGACCTGCCCTTCCTAAACAGAAACAGGGGATGGGGAGTGAGAGAGGGACTGGGAAGAGAAGAGGGAAAGGAATCTGCAACAAGGATGTAAAATAAACAACAACAACAAAAATGTATAGGGTAGATGTTGGGTGGGAGGGATGGGACAGGACATTTGGCTTTCAAAACTGCTTAAGACAAAGCCTTTCCCTCCCCATAAGGAAGCCCAACAACAAAGGCGGCTGCTGCTCCTCTGTCTTTACCTTTCCACTCTACCGTCTCCTGCCAACCTATCAATTAAAAATGGTAGTTTTCCCACTCAGGCTCGCAGAAAATTAGCAAGTTATCCGCACTTCCTCCTACTGTAGAAAACTTAAATACTAATTTTAGAAAGGCTAGAATTAAGGAAGACAGTGTGAGATCATCTAACCCGCTCCCCAGTAAAATCTGTGAATTTTTTTGGAAGAAAATTAAAAACAAAACAACATCTCTGAAACAGCCTTAAGGGCAAATAGTAAATGAAGAAACATCTATCCAAAATAATTCTATAAAAACTTAGTAAGAAAACCAAGTCTGACAAATGAACCAAGATGGCTGGCTCCCTATCTTCTTGATAAAATCAGGGAGGCAGACTCTGCTTCAGACTGATATAGCTCTGAGTAAAGGGCTTTGTCTCTGGAAGGAGAAGGATTGATCAGTGTTCTCGCCAATCCCCTAGCTACCTACCTACCTGTGAGGCTAAGTTCTCAACAGGGCAGTAGAGAGGTGACGACTCTGTCCTTTGATTTGTGGAAAGAGGCGTCTACTTTGGGTACAGCACCCTGAGAAAACACCACCGAGGCCCTAATTGCCTATTACCTGGCCCAGAGTTCCACAGGGAGAACAGCTGAAGCTCATCGACCTGCCTGTGGCAACCCAGTGCTCAGTTCCTAACGTTGGGGTTTCTTTTTCACCCAGAGAAAACCCTTCCAATGTTTCCTCCTTTCCACACTCCTCTCAGAGTCTTGGCACAGATGCTGTGCTGAGATGAGGAGGAGGCACAGAGCAGGTCAAAACTCTCTCCAAATCTCTCTAACAAAGCCAATTTGGTGCACAACAGACTATGGAAACTCATTGAAGATTCAAGGGCTCGGGGAACATACACCCTAAGACAGGCTCCTGAGCTTCCACAGGAGAACCATGTTAATTTAAAAGAGCTGGGAGCATTTCTCCTAGGATCAGACAAATATCAAGCACCTACTACAGAAACTGCTGCCGAAGGAGTCACACTTTACTGGGATTAGTCTGAAGAAGAGCACTCTATACTTCACAGCACTGTCAGAAACAACAGACTCAAGATCAGAAGCTGAACACTGAGACACAGATGGTACTAGAATAATCCAGACAGTAACTAGAAAACAAGCAAACACCTAGGCCTGCGGTACACCCTATAAACCCAGCACAAATCTTAAGCTGAGGGTCAGCCTGGGCTACATGCTAAGGTCCTGTTTGGAAGATCACGTGTGGTAACAAAGGAGAAGGGCGAGTTTACTGAAGTGGTGCAGCACAGGGAGCTGGGGAGCTGGGAGAGGGTAAACCAAAGCTGAGCATGAGTGAAAACGTCACTAAAAATTCAGTCCCAAAACAAACAAAGCAGTTACAAGCACTGGGGTAGGAGAGAGTAGTGCCCACAAATTCCTAAAACGTATTACCTGAAACTTCTAGTTTCTACCAAAAAAATTTACAAAACTTCAGACAAACAGGAAAATGTGATCCATCCAACATGGAAATGAAAATAATAGTTAAAACAACTGCTTATGAGAGTTAACAGACTATAGATGTCATCCATTTAAAACTGGTCATTCTATCGGGAAAAAGGCAGAAGTATGGTAAGAAAAGGTATAAACTAAATCATCTATCTTCAGAGGTTAAATAGTCGAGAACACTACAGCTGGGTCAAAAACAGCTGTGACATTACTGGAGCTAGACCTACCTACACTTAGCAGCTACTAAGAAGAGAAACAGTAGCAAATGCTCACTCCTAGACAGTGAGACTTGGAGCAGTAACTTGGAAAATTTTATAAAAATCTTTCTGTTTAGGCTGTGGCTCAATGTTAAAGTAGGTCCTGGGCTAAATTTTTTTTTTTTGTTTTTGTTTTTTTTTCGAGACAGGGTTTCTCTGTGGCTTTGGAGCCTGTCCTGGAACTAGCTCTGTAGACCAGGCTGGTCTCGAACTCACAGAGATCCGCCTGCCTCTGCCTCCCGAGTGCTGGGATTAAAGGCGTGCGCCACCCCCGCCCGGCGGGCTAAATTTTTAACACCAAATAAATCCTATTTGATTTTTAACTCATACGCATTAACTAAAACAAGGAGAGACGGGACCAAATACTAGGGGATGTGAAACTGCTAGATTATACAATTAGAAAATTATTGTTCTGTATTAAATCTGAGAATACATACAAGCTTATGACCCAGCAATCCTAGCCCAAATAGTATCTAAAATAAATGTACACAAGGTTCATGAAAAGACATGTGTAAAACCATTCATAATAACACTAAGCATTTCACTGAGGCATATACAATCTACAGGAAATAAAATGAAACAAATTATAACTATATGCACAAACATTTAATCAAAGAAGCTAAACCAAAAGTGGAAAAATGAGTGAACAAAACATAATTAAATTTTTAAAGTTAAAAACCAGGACAAAAAGTGTTAAAAATTAGAAAAAACTAGAGGTCAGAAGAGTAGTTACTTTAGGTCAAGCTTCTTCCTTTGTTTGATGTTTCTCTCTCTGTCTCTGTGTGTGTGTGTGTGTGTGTATGTTGTTCTGTGCAGGCACGCATGTGTGATGTGTGAACACCAGGGGACAACCTCGTGTGTCATCCTTCGAGAGAGTGTCTGTCACAGTCCTGAAGCGTACCC